CCTGTGTCTCCGAGCCTCAGCTTTACAATCTGTTAAATGGGCACAGTCATACTAGTGCTACTTCTGTAAGGGCCGTTACTGTGTGGAAAGTGTTTGGAGCTGTACCTAACCGCTAGCACATACAGAGTAAGCACTCCATGCATGAGAGCTATGCCGTGTTTTTATTATTCATCCCCACTCCGTTGCCGGTGTAGCCAGTACACATTGCTGGCTTCTCCCACCACTTGGAAGAGCCAGCAGCCAGTTCTTACCTCCTCTTCCCCGGCCCTCCCCTAGAGAGATCCTTTCTAACCGAACCCACAAGAGAAAGGCACATGCACGGCTCGTTCACCATCAAGTGCTTGGAGTTGGTTTAGGTACCAGTTCAAATCATGTCAAATACCCTGTCCGAGATGGTTTCCCTCAATCCCCAGTTAGGAAATGGAGAGTCACTGTGAAACCCCAGGGCTGTGACCTCGGGTCCTGCAGGGCTAGTCCGGCACTACACGGAGCCTGACCTTGATCGCTACAGACTAGCTCTGCCAGTGAATTTTAGGGAATTTCTTACCACATTAATCATCTTCAGAGCTGGGGAAATGGTCTTCAGATTTGTCCATTTCCTCCTTATGCATATAGCGTGAGTCCGTGGAGGGTTTCGTGTGTTTTAACAGGAAACACCTGAATGCCTTCTCTAACTTAGGTTCTTATCTAATATTTCACAAGAAGGCCCCCAAAGTCGTCTTTTCGAAAGCCGGCATTTCCCCTTTTGTTCTTTTCTCTAAATTACAGCAGTTGTGTGTTTTGTTAACGTTTCCTATCTGGGGTCCATGAGAGTATGTGCAACACTTAGGGTACAGAAGTGAGAAAAGAATCTTAAAGATTAACCATCAGGGCAGTTCCTTTCGTTAGATGAAAAAAATTGTTTTCATTTTCTGCATAGTTCTTTTTTTTTCTTTAGTTATGTAACGAAAGTGTCATGAGTTTCTTCAGTTGTCTGTTTCTGGGTGTGGGCAGAAAACATTCCAGGCCTATCTGAGCTAACAGTTAGCTATGGCACTAACTTAGTTTTAAGACTGTGTTCATTCATGAACTACAGAGGCCCACAACTAGGGGACAGACCTTATGTACTGTCTCTTAAGGGGCAAGAGCATTTTATGTATTTAAAACATTGCTTCACACAGCATTTGAAGGAATAAAATACATTAGATCTGAGTTTCGGGGCTTGTTTTTTAAAGACTTTTTTCTCGTAGAGAAGTTTCAGGCTTACAACCAAGTTGAGGGGAAGCTACAGAGATTTTCTAAATACCCTCTGCCCTCACAGTCCATAATCTCCCCCCCGTCATCTCCCCCCCCCCCCCCANCCCCCCCCCCCCCCCCCCCCCCCCCCCCCCCCCCAGGGTGGTACGTTGTTACAGTTGATCAGCCTGCACTCTGACACATCCTAATCACTCAAAGTCTGTACTTCATCTTCAGGCCCACTGTGGTGGTGTGTATCCTGCGGGTTTGGACACATGTATAATGACATGTATCTGTCGTTATAATAGCACACAGAGTGTTGCCATTGTCCTAGAAATCCGCTGTCCTCTGCCTGTGTATTCAGCTTTCCCTCCACAACCCCTGCAGCTGCTGATCTTTTTACTCTCTCCATAATTGTGCCTTTTCCAGGATGTCACAGAGTTGGAATCGTACAGCATGTAGCCTTTGCAGGTTGGCCGCTTTCACTAATAATGCACATTTAAGTTTCCTCCATGTCTTGTCATGGCTTGATACCTCCTTTTCTTTCCTGCTGAATAATGTCCCATTGTTTGGACGTACCACAGTTTATTCCTCCCTTCGCCTGCTGAAGGAGGTCTCAGTTGCTTCCGAATCGCGGCAGTTAGGAATAAAGCTGCTGTAAACATTTGTGTGCCGTGTTTTGCACAGACATAAGTTTTCACCTCCTTTAGGTAAATACCAAGGAGCACGACTGCTGATCATCTGGTAAGGGTAGGTGTGGTTTGGTAAGAAACCACCAAACCGTGTTCCAAAGGGGCTGCACCATGTTGCACTCCCACCAGCCATGGAGGAGAGTCCCTGTGGCTACACACCCTTCCCAGCACTTGGTGTTGTCAGGGCTGTGGGTTCTGGCCATTCTAATAGGTGTGTAGTGGCATGTTGCTTTAATTTGCCTTCCCCTGATGACATACGATGTGGGGACATCTTTTCATAGGCTTCTTTGCCATCTGTTAATCGTCTTCGGCGAGGTGTTCCTGAAGGTCTTTAGCTCATTGTTTAGTTGTGTTGTTTTCTTGTTTCAAGAATTCTTGGGGCGCCTGGGTGGCTCTATTGCTTGAGCGTCTGACTCTTGATTTTGGCCCAGGTCACGATCCCAGGGTCGTGGGATCAAGCCTCACATCAGGCTCCGTGAGCGTGGAGCCTGCTTAAGATCTTTTCTCTCTCTCTCTGCCCCTCTCCCCTGCTTGCACTCTCTCTCTCTCTCAAAAAAAAAAAAAAAAAAAGGAATTGTTTGTATATATTTTTTTAAGTTTTTAAAAAACTTCATTTAGTTTTTGTTTAAGTAATCTCTACACCTAGCATGGGGATTCAAACTCATGGCCCCAAGATCAAGAGTCTCATGCTCTTCTGACTGAGCCAGCCGGGTGCCCCGAATTCTTTGTATATTTTAGAGAACCATCCTTTATGAGCTAGATATGTCTTTTGCAAATATTTTCTCTGAGTCTCTGGCTTGTTTTCTTATTCTCTTGCTCTTGATTTTTACAGGGCAGAACATTTTTTTAATGTTTATTTATTTTTGAGAAAGAGATAGACAGAGCGCGACTGGGGGAGGGGCAGAGAGAGAGGGAGACCCAGAATCTGAAGCAGCCTCCAAGCTCCGAGCCATCAGCACAGAGCCCGACGCGGGGCACGAACTCATCATGAACCATGAGGTCGTGACCTGAGCTGAAGTCAGACGCTTAAGTGACTGAGCCACCCGGGCGCCCCAGAATTTCTTACTTTTAGTGAAGTCCTGCTGATTGATTATTTCTTTTATATAGATCACATCTTTGGTGTTATATCTAAAAAGTCGTCGCCACACCCCAGCTTATCTCAGTTTTCCCCAGCATTATCTCCTAAGAGTTTTAGAAGTTTGCACTCTGCATTTAGGTTTGTGATCCTTTGTGAGGTTGGTTTTGTGAATGGTGTAAGGACTGTGTCAGGGGTCACTTCCTTGCATGTGGACATCTTGTTCCGACACCATTTGTTGAAGAGGCTCTCTTTGCCCCATTGTATTGCTTTTGCTCCCTCGTCAAAGCTCAGCTGACTATTTATGAGAGTGGATCTGAGTTTTGTAAAACCTGATTTGCAGCAGAACCCTCTGGGGAGTTGCTGTCAAAGTGCTGACTCCTAGGCCCTGGGCTAAACCTAAGTAGGAGTTGCGGGAGAGGGCTTGAGGCATCTGCATTTTATACGACTACAGGAGATTCTGAGGTAATGTGTCAAGAGTTTGGGACTCGTTGCTCCTGGTTCATTTTTAAATCCATCTTCCTTTTCTGTAGAACCTTTGCACGACTCCCACTGTGGCTGACGTAAGGCTCGGTCTTCTGCTAGGTAGTGCAAGTGAGAATCCTTTGATAGCCTAGACAAAAAAGTGTAATGGGTACCTTCCGTCTGCCTGCACCGTGCTAGGTGCCGGTGATCACTGGGGAAAGGTACGCGGAGAGGTTTGAAATGGGAAGTGCGATGCCAGCAGAGCTGGTTACGGAAGGCATTTGAAGCTACGTGGTGGAGTAAGACACTTAGGAAACCACTGTGTTCTGGAACATGGACCCGGCAGTGATTGGAAGGCAGTTACAGCGAAGAAGGTCAGAGGGATTAGTCTGGAGAGGCTACGAAGCCTGAAGTGATTAGGGCATGAGACAGGGTGAGGGTCATGGGAAGGTCACAGGAGAGACCCCCAGAAGCTTCGCAGAGGAAGAAATGACCAGAATTTGGTGTTAGAATATAGGGAAAGGAGGGGAAATAGGGTCATTTCCAAGGCTGTAATCTAGGAACCCAGAGAAAATGAGCTCAGACTGATGGGAACGGGGAAGGTTAGAAGAAAGGCAGTTTAGCAGGGAAGAGGACACAGAAGGAAGTTGGCTTTGAGGCCAGAGTGCAAGACGCAAATGGAGCAGGTAGAAACCTGAGACTAGCTCCAAGGAATCACCAGTGTAGAAATTCCAGTCGAGGGATTGAAATGATAAACTGGGGGAGCATGGTTGAGGGCGTAAGCAACAGAGAGGAACGTGCACAGGGCTGAGGACCGGATGTGAACCCTCTGAGAAGAGAGAAGGGGGAGGAGAAGCCAAGAAAACAAGGCAAGCGGACAGAAGGACCAGAGGAGAGTCATGGAATTCAGCAGATAAGGCATTTTTAGGAAGCATACAGCTTCTCATCCTGGCCTCGGAACATCTCTCCTACAGAAGAGGGAAAGGAGTCAGGGCTCCAGAGCTATTGAAAGTAGCAGGGGCGCCTGGGTGGCTCAGTCGGTTGAGCGTCCGACTTCGGCTCAGGTCATGATCTCACGGTTCATGAGTTTGAGCCCCGTGTCGGGCTCTGTGCTGACAGCTCCTAACCTGGAGCCTGCTTCGGATTTTGGGTCTCCCTCTCTCTCTGGGTCTCCTGCTCGTGTTCTGTCTCTCTCTGTCAAAAATAAATAACAAAAAAGAAAGTAGCAGGGTTCGGGGCGCCTGGCTGGTTCAGTCGGTAGAGCATGTGACTCTTGATGTCGGGGTTGTGAGTTCGAGCCCCGCGTTGAGCATAGAGCTTAAAAAAAAACAAAAACAAACAAGGGTGCATTGAAAAGGAACCTTGGTTGCTTCCTAGAGTATGAAAGGGAGCCACATTATAAAACAGGGTTTTAGACAAAGCTGTCTTTCCATATTGCAAATACTGCTTTGCATGGCCTTCTTGAGTCATTGAAAAGCAAACAAATGTCTGCCTTTGTTTCCTGAATACCTTGTTACAAATAATCCAAAAGGTTGTCTCATTATATTTTGCAGGCACAGCAGCCTGGGAAAAATTCTTCAGTGCGAAAACATCTATAGAGAAGGTCAACACATTGGTTGTTCCTTTGCTCTGACTAATTTGAAGGATTCCAGTTTTGAACAACACAGCGTGCAAATAGTGGTCAAGGATAATGCAGGGAAAATTAGACCATCCTTCAATATAGTGCCTTTGACTTCTCATGGTAAGTCTTAGAAGTCCTGTACAACAGTGTGGACAAAGGCATTATGTCTTTTGAACACTCAGTACAGATACTAAAAAAGTGGTGATTTTCGTTCTAGGATTTTCCCAGAAAAAACGATTGCATTTATGTATACCTTTATTTGAGTTTTTTAAAGAAGCAGGCTTGCAAATTCTAATAGTTGTTGAGCCCATGAGTCACGTGCTTTGTTCTTGTTTGCTTCTGAGTGTGTTCAGGCTTAGAGGACACAATTAGTTATAGGAGTGAGATTGCAACCAGGCTCTCTGACTCCTTTTTTAAAAATTTTTTTAACGTTTATTTATTACTGAGAGACAGAGAGAGACAGAGCAGGAGCAGGGAAGGGGCAGAGAGAGAGGGAGACACAGAATCTGAAACAGGCTCCAGGCTCTGAGCTGTCAGCACAGAGCCTGACGTGGGGCTCGAACCTACGAATCACAAGATCATGACCTGAGTTGAAGTCAGATGCTTAACTCACTGTGCCACCCAGGCGCCCCAAGGCTCTCTGATTCTTAAAATCTATTCTCTTTTAGGGGCACTTGGGTGGTGCAGTCCCTTAAACGTCCAACTCTCGCTTTTGGCTCAGGTTATGATCTTGTGGTTCATGGGATCAAGCCCTGCGTCGGGCTCTGCACTGACAGCGCGGAGCCTGCTTGGGATTTTCTCTCTCCCTCTCTCTCTGCCCCTATTCACCGCCCCCCCCCAATAAATAAACTAAAAAAAATCTTTTATTTATGATACTTGAGAGGATGATGCCACAGAATAAAATCAAATATAGTTTCTGAGTAATCTATACCTCTAAGTTGAGAAAAGGACTAGACCTGAGGAAGAGTGATCAGAAGCGATACTCAGACTAGCTAACGTGCTAGGTAACACAGCAGCCACCGGTCAGAGCAAACTGTCTGCTTGGGGTCCCAGGCCTTCACTTTGGACAAAGCATATAAACTCTCATAAGTGTTTCCTCATCTGTGACACAGAGCACATAGTCCCTCCAACCTCAGAGGATTGTCCTAAGTTCCAGAGGATGTGGGGTCCGTACGGGTTTTGTAAACCTCTACAGCAGACTCCTGTAAGCACCGTGTTTATGTATTTGTCCCAAGCTGCCAACACGGAGCTCCGACTCTGGCCGTGCGGCTTGCAGAATGTTTACAGGCGGCTAGCCGTGAGGTGACAGAGGTGCCCGCATCTGGGAGTGGAGTGCTATTTACCACCCCTTCCGATAGTCGTGGAAGTGAATTCTAGTGGTGGACCCAGGGCCAGGGGAGTGAGGTCATGGTAACTTGCCAAGCGGGATCATCTGAGGCAAAGCCCCTCCCTGTCCTTCCCCATGCTCGGCAGATTGTCCTTGATGGACCTTGTAAAGCTCATTTTGCTACTCTTCTTCCTGGAGATTAGTGGTCCCGTAAAGGGAGATCCTTCTCAGCTGGAAGATGGTATCTTCAAGTTTTTTTCTGTTCATTGTCCATTCTCTCTCTCTCTCTTTTTAAATTTTTTTTGTTTTTGAGAGAAAGAAAGCACATGCAAGTGGGGGAGGGGCAGAGAGAGAGAGGGAGACAGAATCCCAAGCAGGCTCTGCTCTGTAAGCGTGGAGCCTGATGTGGGGCTCAAAGTCACTAACCGTGAGATCACAACATGAGCCAAAATCACGAGTCAGACACTCAGCTGACTGAGCCACGTAGGCACCCCTCATCTGAATTCTCTTCTGTTGCTTAGTCTTAAGCATAGTTGACTTCATGAAAAAGTAAATTGACTAGGCTAATTCTTTTTACTTTATTAAAAAAATTTTTTTAATGTTTATTTTTGAGAGAGAGAGACAGACAGAGTACGAGCAGGGGAGAGGCAGAGGGAGAGGGAGACACAGAATCCGAAGCAGGTTCCAGGCTCTCAGCTGTCAGCACAGAGCCTGATGTGGGGCTCGAACCCACAGACTGCGAGATGATGACCTGGGTTGAAGTCAGACACTCAACCGACTGAGCCACCCAAGCACCCTTTTTTTTTTTTTTTTTTTACTTTATTTTTAATTGTGGTTATAATCACCTAGCGTTACATTTCCCATCATAACCATTTTTTAAAATATTTGTTTTTAACATTTATTTATTTTTAGAGAGAGAGAGAATAAGAGAGAGAGAGAGAGGGAAAGCGAGTGTGGAGGGAGCAGAGAGCGATGGGGAGAGAGAGAATCTGAAGCAGGCCCTGAACCATCAGTGCAGAGCAGGATGCAGGGCTCGAACCCATGAACCGTAAGTTCATGCATGACCTGAGCTGAAACCAGGAGTCAGTTGGTTAACTGACTGAGCCACCCAGGTGCCCCCCACCGCCATCGTAACTGTTTTTGACTGTACAGCACAGTGGTGTTAAGTATATTCACGTTGGCGTGCAACAGATCTCTAGAACTTTCTCAAATGTTTTTAAAACTGAACCTCGATACCCACCAAACACTAATTTCCCTTCCCCGAGCCCTTGGAAACCAACTTTCTATTTTCTATGATTTTGCCTACTTTAGACACCTCTTATGGGTGGAATCCTACAGTGTTTGAGATGGGTTTTTTTCACTTAGCATAGTGTCCTTGAGATCTGCCCGTGCTGTGGCCTGTGACAGAGACCAGGCTAATGTTTTCACTGTGGTCTTTGGCACAAGCGAGTGGCAGCTGGGGAAACCCCGTGTACCCGGTGCCCCTCGTTATACACTGGGAGGGTGCGTCTTTATTCTCAGTCACAGCTGGATGTCCTGAATACAGCCCATCGGGGTCCCAACTGGATGCAGATCAGAGTTCACGTTGTCTGCCCGTCACCCCAGAGATGTTCTTTAGATCCGTTTTGGCAGGCAGCTGAAAATAAGCTTTCTCCATCCGTCGCGACCCCTCATGATCTCTGCCCATGCATGAACCTCAGCAAAAGAAAGTTGGGAAGCTACTCAGTGTTCTCCTCTTTCTGTCTTTCAGTGATACCTGATCCCCCACATATTAAACGGCTCTTCTTCCAAAATGGTAACTTGTACGTGCAATGGAAGAATCCACAGAATTTTTACAGTAGGTGCTTGTCTTACCAAGTAGAAGTCAACAACAGCCAGACCGAGACGAATGATATTTTCTACGTAAGTTTTCCTTAGCTGGTTGATTTAATTTGGCCATTTTTCTGTCGCGTTCCTTCCAGGGGACATAACTGAAATGTCAGCGAAATGCAGCTCTTAGATGTGTAACCTGATGATGATAGTAATGAGATTTCTTGTCTGAAATAGGGGCGTGGTGGAAGGTTTGAGGGTTTATGGGAGTGGCATTGGCCGTGAGCTTCAAGCCGTTTATCAATTCGTTTGCTGAACACATTTTCGGTACATGTTTACCGCATGCCAAGCACCGTTTTAGGTGCACGTGGCCCTGACGCGAAGATCTTTCCCCCCCATGCACCCCACCTACTAGAAAATAAGTATGTAAACGAGCAAGTTAATTTCAGAACATGGAGGCTGTGAAGAAAATGAAACGGGTTCTGTAGTAGCACAACGGGTGGGCCCAAGGGGATACGAGGGTGGGCGGTCCTCTGAGATGATGACCCTGGAGATGAGACCAGAATGACGAGCAGGGGCTCGCCATGTGACGATCTGGGACTGGAGGGAACGGGCAGGAATGGACTTGGCCTGTGTGAGAAACAGAGAGGAGACTGGTGTGGCCAAAACACAGTAGGAAAAGACGCGTAAGCGGGAGGCCGGGGTCAGATCGGGCAGTCGCTTCGAGGCTCCGGGGTGGCCAGTCCCTTTTCTTGGAGTTTATGGCAGCTGAGGTGGCCCCCTCTGAGGAGTCAGTGTTTGTTGGATGATGTACCTTCACGCTCTTGGGAAGCTAGTGCAGAACACACTCATTAGAGGTCCCTGTGGGCCACGGGGCGTAACAGGACGTGCTGTAACCTCAGGGTGTCGGCCCCATTCTTCCACTTTACAGTAGAGGTCACACACTTGGGTCTTAAATATTTTTGTTTGGACTACAAACAGAGGGGGCCTTCGGCCCTTAAACTGGATGGAGGCAAACCCTAAGAGGCTCAAATACGGAGAACTAACGGAGAGTCTGCTGGAGGGAGGTGGGTGGGGGGTGGGCTAGATGGGTGCCGGGCATCGAGGAGGGCACTTGCTGGGATGAGCAATGGGGCTTCTGTGTAAGCGAGGAATCCCAAAAGTCTACTCCTGAAGCCTAACTTGAACTTGAATAAGTAAATTTAAGAAACCAAAACAACAGCAACAACAAAATGGGAGAGTTTTGCCCAGATTCAACCACCCCAGCCGCCCGAGGAGTGTCGTTTCCATGAGGTGGCACCACAAGGCCACAGGGACCGTGCTGTCGCTAGTGTGCCCCCTGCCCCGGGGCCCCGCGGGCATTTGCGTTGCAGAGGTCAGAACCCACATGTTCCGTGTTGGCTTGGAAAGGACCCCGGGATCTCGCGTGTCGGCAGACGCATTGGCCCATTTGTTTTCGCTCATCGTGGGAGTTTCAAAAGACCTGCTAAAATAAGCCACCGTTGACAGGGCAGAGGGAGCGCCCAGGTCCGCAGCGGACCGCCGGGCACTTGCAGGTGAATCCATTTGCTGAGAGAGAACGACCACTGTCCATCCCAGAAAGCGGCGTCCCCATCCAGGACTGCGAAGGGGAAGAGCAAAGGGCGTCCAAGTGGGGAGAAGGTGAGGCTTGGATTTACAATGGCGTCAGCCGTCAGGGCGCTGAAATATCCTTAACTACTCCAGCCGCCCCTGCTCTCTTCTGTCTGAAATCCTGAGACACATGCTGCTTGTATTACTCATTTGGCACCGAATGATGTCCTGCGAGTTACCCCGATCACATGTTGGGCCTTTTCTCTTGACTAAAAATAAAAGCTCCTGCAGGGAGGAGTTAGGGGGTGTTTACTTTGTGCTATGCCTGCTAACAGTGACTAACACGGATCGAGTGATTACTATGTAGTAGGCATTTTATGCTATTTTTAAAATTTTTTTTGGAGAGAGAGAGTGTGTGTGAGTGGGGGTGGAGGAGAGGGACAGAGGGAGAGACAAGAGAGAGAAAACCCCAGTCCCGAGCAGGGATTGTCTGTGCCCAGCATGGAGCCTGAAGCGGGACTCGATCCCACGACCCTGGGCTCGATCCTCATGACCTGAGCCAAAATCAAGAGCTGGCCGCTCAACTGATGAGGCAGCCAGACTCCCCTGTAGTGGGCATTTTAATAAGCATGTCATCTCACTCTTTCTTGTAATCCTTCTGGTTACCCTGACGATCTAGGTCCTATTATTTTGCTCCCACTTTACAGATGAGAAAATGTTATCCCAGAGGTTACTCCTAAGGTTAGTGGCAGTGTCAAGATTTCAGCTGGAATCTAACTCCAAAGCTTGTGTTCTTAACCACTGGGGACCACCTCAATACTTCCTCTTAAGAATAACGAGCATCCCTTATTAAGTATTTATGATGTGCTACAAAGATACTCTTCTAGGTGCTTCTTTTTTTTTTTTTTTTTTTTTTTGAAGTTGGGAGTGAATATTGTTCAACATCTAGTTTTAAAATGGACTATTACCAGTGCCTTTGGAGCCAAGTCCATTCTTTTTTTTTTTTTTTTTTAATATTTTTATTTACTTCTAGGAGAGAGAGAGAGAGACAGCATGAGCAGGGGAGGGTCAGAGAGAGAGGGAATCACAGACTCAAAGAGGCTCCAGGCTCTGAGCTGGCAGTCAGCACAGAGCCCGACGCGGGGCTCGAACCCACGAACCGCGAGATCGTGACCTAAGCGAAAGTCGGACGCTTAACCGACTAAGCCACCCAGGCGCCCCG